GTGTAATGAAACCTAATGATGCCCCTTGGCCCTGTCAACGTTTTCTGTGTTTATCTTGTATCAGTTCAGAAGAGCTTTGCAAACTGTTAATGGTGGAACATTACGGCTTGTAGGGAAAAGATGTCCTTTCACCACCGGTTTGCTTCTCTCTGGAGGTATTCTGTTCTCTTTACCACCTGTCCTGGTAATAATTGAGCAGAGGTGATTCCAATTAACTAGTGTTGCTGTGTCCAATTGTTGTAAGCAAATTTGGGCTTATTTTCATCAAAAAGTCACTTTTAATATGGGAAATAATGTCTGTCTCTTTATATCTCTGTGTTCCCTCTTAGTTTTAAAGCTCAATAGAAATGCTGGTATTCCCTGATACACGTACGCCATTTCCCCTCTTACACTCTGGATTATTGCTTGCTATACTGGAGAAACGGAGAAGAAATTCTTTGCTACAGACACAGGTTATTAAGGAAACCCAAATTGCCTCACTGGAGGGGAGAGCAGCTCAGTGACTATGAAGTCATTTTCACTGAGTCTTGATCATTAGGACAGATTAAACACTAAAGACCCATTACCCCACCGTAATCATTAACTCTTTGGTTTGATGTCCAAATGGGTGTGCGTGACTCTCACTAAGCATTCCCATGGGAATTTTCCCTATGCTAAAAAAATACACAAAGCAACAAGGAAGTATAGCATAGCAACAAAATATTTCTATGAGTTCGTGATTATAGCATGACACAAGGATTTCTAATCCAGTAGTTTTTCATTATTTGTCAAAAGCTGTTGTGGTATAAGTCCAAATGTTTTAACCCTCCTCTGGTCTGGGAAGTATATTTAGGTTTCCTCAATGAACTTTCACACAATGACTGGCCAACTGTTAGTGACTCACAGAACTGCGGTTTAGAAACAGATTGGCAGTGTCCCTAAAACAAATATAAAACATAAAGAACATCCAGCTGGCATTTTATGGTGGTAACTACCTCTACAAAACTACAAATCGAGCACAGTATAAAAGCCAAACTCACTTCCAAGTCCAAGATTATTGGAACAATGAAGGAAAGTTTAGATTACCGAAAAGATTAATATATTTATATAAGGAGTCTTGTCAATACATTTTCAAATAATAATACCTTTGGGTGGATGATGCCAGATAAAGCTGCTGATAACTGCCATGAATGAATATTTAAAAAGTAGTGTGTGTGGATTACTGTACTCTATGGCTCAAAGAGAGGGAAGAAGCAGTATAGTTTAATAATTTTTATCTTTATAAAACAATGCTTTGTCTCATAGAAGCAGTTTTTTTTTCAATGTTGTTGCTAGCTCTGCTTCATTCAAACGGACTGTAACTAATTGTGTTTAACCACTGAAACATAGAGTATGTATGTTTGCTTGAAGGGGCATTATACATGCTGCCTGTCATATGTCAAAACATCTGGCAAAAGAAGAGCTTTAGTCACAGTAATTATTTTCAGGATGTCAGAGCCTTTCACAGAAGAACGACAAAATGACAACAGTGGGACCAGATTGTGCTGTTGCTCAAAGGCAGCATAAAATACTAGAACCCTTTCATGTGATTGTCTAATGAGAATAGACTCGTCAGTGTATATTAGGCTGTTTTAAAGCTTAATGTTGTTGGAAAGTGAGCAAAGCAAGCGAAGAGCAAAACAACAAACTTGACCTTTATGTCAAAGAAAAAAACTAATCTTATTTAGAATTCCATTAAATTTATTTGTGAAGTGCTTCTTACAATACTTGTTATTCTAATGCAGCTTTACAAAAAACAGTGGCAAGAGAAAAACTCCCTCAGATGTTTGAGAAGATGGAAAAATATATACAGCCACATAATATTATGGATAATATTAACTAGTTTGATGCTTAATTGAATATGAAAACAATGACTAATACAATACGAATCCATGCAAAATGCAAATATTTGCAAAAAACAGATAACAAACAAGTGTGGAATTGAGTTAAACGTCTATGTGAGAACATAAAATGTAAGGAAAAACAGGATTTGAGATTCACAGATGCTGACATATTTGTTCTGCATCTGTACAAGACTTAGTGATTAGCAGGGGGGCGTATATTGATTTAATGGGGATGGTAATATAGCTAGCAGTGACTCACCTCCATTTCTTTTGTGGGCTGGTGATTGGGCAGATTGCAGCAGCTACAGTATTATATTAGAACACATTTATCATTCATTTACTCTTTGAATGGGTAGAGGTGAATAGGTAAATAGGTAATTGGGGCTTCAGACTGTAGAGTATCTGTGAAGCTAATGTTTTTCCTGATGCTGCAGTGCATGTGTGCATCCATTCTTTAAATGGATATGAGAGGTTTGTCGGACTCCTGGGCCTTTTATTTCAAGAGTTTCTGAGTTGAAATGTAGACTACAGACCACTTTGAACCTCTCAGCTCAAAGGATGAGTTTTTTTTTTCAGCTTTAACTTTAAGCTTTAACTTCCTGGCTCTCATTCAGCCAGGCAACTTCATTTCTTATAATTGCAATTTTAAAACTCACATTGTGATTTTATGTCTCACAATGTAATTTCTGTCATGACAACTCTCTGAGAGTTTGCCATGGTAATGTATTTGACAGTGTTGATGTGTTTGGTCTTGGTGGAATAGATCTGCTATGCTGCTGCTGCTGCGGCAGAGCAAGTACCGAGACTTGCTACTGCCAATACATCCACAGACATGCTGCTGTGAGCATGTAAGAAATACTGCTGCTGCACATATAACATATATGAAATAACCCCCATATATAACATACAGATCTATACAGGTGGAGCTGGGGAAGGTGGAGCGTTTCTGAAGCGCGCTGCAACTGCTATAGCAAGCACTAGCCAAATATTTGAATGTTGAGCAGCGAGCTCATTGGCTGCTGATACAAAAAGAAACCAATCAGCTGCACCCTGTGAATAATGATGTCATTATGTCAGATTGAGTTAGAACCTATCGGACTGTGCTATCTAGAGTTTCATGGCAGAACTTTGGATTTTATTTGTTGTAAAATTGTGACTTCATGTGTCACAATTGCAATTTTATATCTATATATATTTTTTCTTATTTAATATCTCTGTTACCAGTTTTACTTTTTACTCTGAAGCAAAAAATGTGTTTCCATAGTTGTGTGAAGTATTTTTTTATTTTAATTTTATTTTTTTGCACTGATATTGAACAATTCACAGATTTCAAAAGCACAATGAAATATTAATGTCAAGTGACTGGTTGTTGAAAATGTACATTTCCACCTTGAAAACCACCTGAAATGTCCTCACTTGGACAAAAAAAAATGGAATTCCCCTTTGTAAGTGTCTAAAGATGAGTGACTGTCATATAAAAGACACGCATGCCGCCAGACTCCTTTACACGCTGCATGAATTCAGTGACATTGGCAATATTTAAAGCAAGCTCTTACTTACTATTAGACTTGACAGGCCATCTAACTCCTCCTCTAGTTAATGTCAGTATGGCCAGGCTGCGGGGAGCACACTGACAGGGTAAGAAAGCAGAGGTCAAATCAATAGAAAGGGGTTATGGAGTCATGTTTTTCAGGCTTTCAGCTGTTGAGAGACCGCTGCCGTATTTCCAGTTCCCCACGGCCTGGACTGTCCGTCGCATTCAGTGGCTGTGGATTGAGTTAGGCACAGAAGTGGCTGACGGATTGACAAGAGAACACAACCTTAAAGAGATACTGAAGAGAACCTTGGCAGTGGCTGCAGACAGATGCGGCATAAAAAACAAGATGTTCAGTCAAGTTCATTAATGTTTACTTAGGGGGAAAAACACTTCTTAAGCCACTGCTTTTTAATTATTATTATTGTTGTTGTTGTTGTTTTTATTTTGCCAATAGAATAAAAAAAGATTGACAAGAAGAAAAGAGAGAGGAATGAGACTGGCAGGCCGGAGTTGAGCTGACTGTAAACTACTCTAGAGAATATGCAGAACAAACATGTATTTCTTTTATAAATCTGATGCATTCTGACCTGTAGATGTGCTTTCATTCATACAGTGTTCTTGCTTGTTTTTTTTTTCTTCTTCCATAGAATCTTCCTCAAATTGAATTTTCAAAAGCACTTGGTGTCGCTACAGTTGAGCAACTCCAATTTACAACAACAGCACATTGTCAATGTATTATTTTCCTGCTGGTTAATGTTGCTTTTTGAAAATCACATTCAAACTTGTTTGCAATATTTCATTCATTCAGAGTCACATATTTGCTCAGCTATAAAAACCAGCTCATCTGTATGATAATTCTCATTCAGTACACGACCATAGAAGAGGGAGATCCTCTAAATAACCCTTCACTTGTACAGTTTTCAGAAAGACCCATCCCAGAACATCTCAATATAGACTTGTGTAAATAGCATGATTCAGTAAAATGTACTTACAGTTTACAGCAGTAAAAATTGATTGGAAATTATTAATATTTGGGATGAAATAAACTATGATATTGCAAAGCATTTTTATCTATAATTTTTTAGTTTGAAAGAAACACAGTATAACATACATCTAACTTAAGACAATCAAAATTAGGTCAACATCTTTCCACTAGTAAATTAAAAGAGATTGTGATTACAATAACATTAGTGTAAAAAAAAACTACAATGCACTTTGAACTTTTTTTCTTATTATTTTCATTTTTCATTGTAGGGATGTAAAAATGCTTCCATAACAGTCTCTGTACCGGGATCTCATCTTAAGATAATTTTTGCAATCCGTTTAGACAGGCTGGAAAAAATATTAAGCACAAAAGCTGATAAAGAGGTGACTGTGAGGGTTTAAGAGATGCTTGTCACTGTCAGACTGCAGACTAACTGTGCTGCTCTCTTCATCATTCTTACTTTAGAATAGCGAAAGACTCTCCATCTTAACATTACCCTGAGGCATCTTTCTCACAAGCAAGCAAGGTCAGATGTCTTTTCTTTCCTCTGTTCTTTCTGTCTTTGCTGCGAGAGTTTATTGTGTGGGTTTGTGTTGATGCTTTGTGCAGGAGTGTCAGCGGAGCAGGCCTGTGCAAGACAGGGAGAGGAAAACTTCACAGAAGATGAGGAAAAGCCGGAGCGTTCTGACTGTGTCACCTAATGAGGTGAGTAGTAGCGGTACAGAATCATGTATTTCCAAAAACTACTAGTTGATTGACTAATTTGTGTCAGCTTTTGATTCTGATTGGTCAAGCGTTGACAATGAGCAGCCAGGCATTTTGCAATTATCTAATTGGTTTTGTAAAATTAATATTTTTTTGTATAATTTTTTCCCACAGTTCGCTCTGGTCCTTGAATTTGATTTAGATTAGTTTAGTTGTTTACAGGGGCAATGCACATTAATAAACATGGCTGTAAATGTGCCAGAATTAGCCAAAAAGGCTATATTTCATCTGTAGACCCTTGACAGAATGTTATAAAGTCACCCTAAAAAAAAACAAAGCCTCTTACACAAATACACACACAAGAAGAAGAAAAAAATCATTATCAAATACTAAAAAAAAGTACATGATTCCACATGGAAATCAAACTAAAATACAACAATAGGAAGTTATCTAAATCAAAATATTGTGCTACATTATGAGGCTTTTCCAATGAGCTACTGTCATCGATGACAGACTACCTAATTTGAAGTGTAAATCTATTGTCATAAGGTGGCAGCAGCAGCTGTCTGTTCGATTTGAAGCAGACCGTATGACGTCAAAATACCGCGAAAGTGACTTACCCCTTATTTACACTGCACGTGTCTGCGGCCGCGCCGCTTCGCTAAAGATATGCGCCTCGCCTATTTTTGAAGGTAAGAGTGTGCACTCAAATATGCTATAGAACCGCTCTCGCGATACTTTGATGTCATACACCGATCAGTCTGCGCAGTGCTGCTTCAAGTCGAACACACCTATTGGGTTTGTGGTGTTGTTGTGCGCGCTAGGGAAAATATATCCGCCATACGTCATTGCGTCGCTATATCATTGATATCGCGATATGACACTTTTTTTATCATGTAAAAATTTATACCGGTATTATCGTGGACGGTATGATATGGCACACCCCTATATACAACCAAGGATTTTGTAAGTTCATTTCATTTGCGACTTTTGACACACTGCTTCCATGTATATAAATAATAGTGTCATCCGCATACATTTGGATGTTAGTGTTGGGACAAACGGATGGAAGATCATTGTTATTTAACGTAAAAAGGAATGGACCCAGAATAGGTCCTTGGTGAACACCTGTGGATATACGTATATATTAAGGGGGCTGATTTATAATTCTGTTTTCTGGCATATTGTGTAATTGGCTGTACGCTGCACCAAAGCGGCTGATATTTAGTCCACTGTGACTTGTATCACTCTGCTTGTCTGTGTTTGCATGTTCCAGAAAACTGTCAGTCTGTGCATTAGTGTTGAGGATTTTTCAATGACCCTTTATTAAGGTTACATCATTACACCACTAGGTGGCAAAAAGTAACTGTCTTTATGAGTAGAGTTAAGGGTTACTCATTACTCAGGGTTAAGCATAGACCATTTATCTTGTTTCAAATGTTTATTTTGTCATCATTTGCTATATCTAGCAAAGTAAACCAAAAGATTGAAGGGTGATTCTCAAAAATCTATATTTTCTGCAAGCTTTTTTCAAGATAAATTTAGATGTCTTTCCAAAAAAGGACACTTAGAAACTCCAAAAGGACACCAAAGAACCAAATTCTATAAGGAGCCTATATAAGCACATATGAAAGAAAAAAAAAATCGAATTTTATAGTATGTGTACAGTGCAACACCAAAGAGATTTTTTACATTTTGGAGAAGCCAAGTTGTGATACCGAACAGGACCACATGGAGATGCCAAAAAAACCCTAAACCAACC